CACCGCTCGAGTTCAGATTAGGTGGGCCGTTCCTCCCAATCACACCCCTCCAGGTCAAGCTGTCATTGCCCACGTGAGCATTGAAGTCCCCCAGCAGGACAATGGAGTCCCCTGATGGAGCACTATCTAGCACTCGTCCCAGGGACTCCAAAAAGGGTGGGTACTCTGAACTGATATTTGGCCCATAAGCACAAACAACAGTCAGGACCCGTTCCCCGACCCGAAGGCGCAAGGAAGCTACCCTCTTGTCCCCGGGGGTAAACCCCAACACACAGGCAGAGAGTCTCGGGGCTAACAAAAAGCCAACCCCAGCCCTCCGCCTCTCACCCGGAGCAACTCCAGCAAAGTAGAGTGTCCAACCCCTCTCCAGGTCTCGGGTTCCAGAGCCGATGCAATGTGTTGAGGTGAGTCCGACTATATCTAGCCGGTACCGCTCAACCTCTGCCACAAGCTCCAGCTCCTTCCCCACCAGCGAGGTGACGTTCCATGTCCCAAAAACTAGTTTTCTTGTCCGGGGATTGGACCGCCAAGGCTCCCGCCTTGGTCTGCCACCCGATTCGCATTGCACCGGACCCTTCATGTTCCTCCTGCGGGTGGTGGGTCCACAGTTGGACGAGCCCATGTATCCGGTTCGGGCTGGGCCCGGCCGGGCCCCATGGGCGAAAGCCCGGCCACCAGGCGCTCGCTCACGGGCCCCAACCCCAGGCCTGGGGAGAAGACGCTAAACAAATACAGGACATTTACCATATTTACATTCTTTGTGGGACATTTGCAAGGTGACTAAATATCCCCAATAACTATAAAACTGACTTAACCAATGTGGTGGATAAATGGCAGACTAACATGTTGACTCCTTCTTCAAAGCTCCTCATTAGCAAGGTTTAGTCTTATCCTTTCTGGAGATCCTGAACGCACCAACATCCCATAATAATCACAACGGTATTCCCCTCAACCAATTAACTCTCGCTACTGCTCCATTCTCTCGTTCGGTTTTTACCAGTCTGCAGGTAGCAGCTATCGAGTGATGGTGATGTTTTTCTCTCTCAACATTCTGACCTTTTTTTTTCTTGAGACACAGTTTCTTTCTGGGTTTGTGCATCCATGAGACTGTAAGTTTATCTCTTTACTGGACAGATTCATTTTGCTAAATATTATTACTGAGTTTATCATGTTCAAATAATTGGATTAGTATGTTGTTTATGTGGTAGTTAGATGTACTATTCATTAGCATTGAAGGTTATATTAGTTATTCTGCTCCATTACTGTTAATTTGGCTGTTCATTGCTCTTATGCAAGTCCCGTGGATGATGTGTTCAAGACTCGTCGGGAACCAGACATGAAAAGCATGCGCTGACGGCCGATCACCGGATACACGGCAGCGTTTGAAGCTGATGGCAGCTTGTTAACAAACATCCACAATGAAGACGCATTTTCGCCAAATGTATCTACCGACAACGCAAAAAATAATTTGGTGAGTATAACTCACTCAACCTGGAGGTAAGTGGAGAAAATTTAGAAAGTTTACAAAACTATATTGACAGAGTTTTTGAGTTTTTCGTTATGGGTCCGAAGAAATCAGCAGCTGAGACCGAAACACCTGGGACCAAGAGGAACCGTCCTCAGGACTCGCCTGAGGCCTCATCTCCCCCTAAGGACATATTAGAATTATTAGATCCTATAGATAAACTGCTTCTGGGATTTGAGGGGCGACTTCATCTGCTCGAGGTTCTACACCAGGAGTTTCAGAACCTCCAAACATCTTTGGAGTTCAGCCAGGAGCAGGTTGAGCGGCTCGCTGCTGAAAACGTGTCTCTGCGAGAGTCCGTTTCTTCCCTGGAAGAGGGAATAATGTGGATCACCCTGGACAACAAGATTCTGAAGGAGACGGTTTTGGACCTTCAGGCATGAGGGATAATTTGGTGTTCGCAGGCCTGCCAGAGCAGACGGGAGGGGCCGAGAACTGCGAGCAAACAATTAAAATCTTTCTCCAGACTCAAATGAAGACACCCGAAGAAACTGTAAAAAACATCACCTTTCACCGGGTACATCGCCTTGGAGCTAAAAGAGGAGACAGCAGAAGACCTCGTCCCATCGTGGCTAAATTTGAACATTTTAAGCAGAAGGATCTTGTTAAAAGTCACGGAAGAGAGCTCAAAGGGAAAGATTTCAGCGTAAATGTCCAGTTCCCTAAGGAAATTCTGGATCGGCGCGGAGTCCTCTTTCCGCTGCGCAAAAAAGTTTATCCAGGATGGGAAGAGAGCTGTCATCTCGGTGGATGAGCTTTACGTGGACAATAAGCTTTACAAGGAGCGAGGAGTGACTGACTGGCTGTATTAGCCCAACATCAAGTCAGACATTTATTATTCTTATCAGGATTCACTGGGTTTGATCACGTCAGGATTAAACAGCTGCTAAATCCGTGTTCTAGATCAGTGGTTCCTAACCTGGGGGTCCCAGCCCCCACAAGGGGGCGCCAAAGCATCTCAGTGGGTCGCCAGGACCTCTCCACTTTAAGGGGTTAAAACTTAATTTATTACTTGTTTATAGCCTACATTTTGCTCACATTTTTTTTTCATGAGTGAAAAGTTTACTGATATTAAGACAGGAAATAATTAGTACAGAAAAAGTAACACACTTTTAAGAACATTTTGCTCAGCTCACTGTTTTATTTTCAAGTGTCAAAAGTTCATTAAAGTTAGGACTGGTTGATTAATCACAGCCTTTACAGTAAATAATCTAGTATAAACAGTAATACACACATTTAAGTACATTTTGCTCAGTGTATTTTTTATGTGTCAAACGTTGATTGAAAGGAATGATTGATTTATCAGTGTTTACAAGAAACAATGTGTTCAGAAAAGTAATACAAACTGTCAAGCACATTATGCTCTGTTTGGTTTTGTTAATGACTTTGTTCTGTACTGGAGCCTACTATTACTGTTATCTATTGAATCAAAGCATATTAAAATGTGCTTGAACAATTTTATCATTTCTTAATAATGTTTGTACTGGAAGAGAGAATGGGAGGGGGTCGTCAAAAATTTTACTGGTAAAAAACGGGGTCCCTTGGGAAAAAGGTTGGGAACCACTGGTCTAGATGATGAGATCACCTGTTCATCACCACCTCACACCCCTATCACCTTTTCTATTTAGTTCTTTCTACTTCTTTAACCCTTATAGTTCTTTCCTTACCTCTTTTTATCTGCTTTTGCACCTTTACATCTGTATGGCACAACCACACAACTTTCCAACACTGCATCAGACTCAGCACACACACACACACACACACACACACACACACACACACACACACACACACACACACACACACACACACACACACACACACACACAACACAAACACACACACACACACACACACACACACACACACACATTAAATGCACAGCACAGTATCAGAATTTATGCGTCAAATAATAAAACCACAAACACTGTTGGATCCTTATTATCATTATTATTATTATTTATTTTTCTGTTCTTCATTACCATACTATTTTATGCATTTATATACTTATTCCATCTTATTCACATGAAGGAGTCATATTTTAGCTACTCACACACACATCTATGTGTGCACTAAGATTTGTCTCATGGAACGTACAAGGAGCTGGCTCCACAGAGAAAAGAACAAATATTTTTGATCAGTTAAAGAGAGTGCAAGCAGACGTAATATTGTTACAAGAGACTCATAGATCTGCCACATCCGCAGATGAACTTAAAACACCTGAGTTTCCCAGCGTGTTCTCTGCCTGCTATAACTCTAGGCAAGGAGGTGTAGCTATTTTAATACACAAAAACATCAATTTCACAGTATTGGACACAGTTTCTGATCCAGAGGGTAGATTTATAATGTTAAAAATATCTGTACAGAACCAAAGCTTATGCATTGTCAGCATATACTGTCCAAATATTGATGACCCTCCATTCTTTCATAACTTTTTCTCTGTACTCTCCGAACACTTGGACTGTCCACTTATACTTGGAGGTGATTTTAATTTTTGGATGAATTCCTTAACAGACAGGCTCAGTACAGCTGGGACTCAGCGCAATTGGCAATCCACTAACATAGTTAAACAGTACATGAATGATCATGGGCTTTGTGATGCATGGCGATCTCTTCATCCTAACCGTAGAGAGTATACTTTTTTTTCGCACGTCCATCACTCTCACTCACGTTTGGATTATGTTCTAGTCAGCGGCTCATTGTTGGCTGACATTTCAGACACTGAGATACACCCCATAGCTGTCAGTGACCATGCTCCGGTTTCTTTAACTCTGGTAAATAAAAAGACAATCCCACCAAGCAAAAACTGGAGGTTTAATACATCACTGCTTAAAGACGAAGGTTTTATAGAATTTTTTAAAAAGGAGTGGGCTTTATATTTAGAACATAATGACCTGCCTGGAACATCAGCATCTATTCTCTGGGAGGCAGGAAAGGCAGTGATGAGAGGTAAAATAATCTCTTTCTCATCACATAGGAAAAAAACTGAAAACAAATGTATTCAGGAGTTATAAGAAATCATTAAGTCTTTAGAGGCATCCACAGAAGAAGAGTCAATGAGCAAATTACGTAAAGCTAAATTAGAACTTCATGGAATTATTGACAAAAAGACACAATTTTTAGCACAAAGACTACCAATAGAAAACTTTGAACACAGTAATAAATCAGGTAAATTTTTAGCAAGCGAATTAATAAAATAAATAAATAAATAATAATATTAATAAATAATAATAAATAAAGAGAAAACTACCACATCTGCTGTTAAAGACTCAACCGGGAATATAGTTAATGGCCCAGAAAGCATAAACAACACTTTCAGAGACTTTTACCAAACTTTGCACTCACCACAGATAAACCCATCAGATAACGAGATCAATGAGTTCCTTGACAGGATAACACTTCCTAAATTATCAGACAGCCAAGTTACAGTCCTGGACTCGCCACTAACCTCAGCTGAGCTCCAGGAAGCCCTTAAAGAGCAAGTAACGTCTAAATTAACTTTTTTTTGCTGATGAACTGTATAAATGAGTGTCTAATAGTGTTTTAAATGTGTGCATTCTTTATTTTAGCATTTTGGTGCATTTTCTTTAAAAATTAAAAATTCTGTCTAAAAACCACAGTAATGCGCCACCTTCAGCTGAAAACATAGAATTTGAGTCATTTTGAATAAATTTTAGCCAATGGCTAAAGAGTAAAGTACTACGTAAACCAGTAGAGTACTACGTAGCAGCTCCGTGCCAAAGTTATAAAAGCAACGAGAGTCTCGGCCACGCCCTGTGGCGCGTGGGAGTTGGATTTGCAAGCGAGCGTAGGAGGTCAGCGGTAGTTCAGCATTAGCATATATCATTAGCATATCCTAGTCTTAGCATATCTTTTAGTGTTATAAATACTTATTTAGTGTTAGCTTGGCTGTTGGATATTGTAGTTTAGTTAGTGTTTGGCTGTTAGTGTAATTGGGAAAGTATTTCGGTTTTAGTGTTCATATCGTCTTAGTATTGGTGAGATGGTGTAATGTAGTATGCTTGCGGTGACTCTGTGGGCATTTTACCCGCGATTCTGCACGTCTCCGTTTGAAGAGGGAGGCTGCCCACCGTGGCTCTTCCGCGATTTAGATGCAGCCCACCGACTCTGCTCCCCCACCACGGCGGGCTCCAGTCTGAGGTGAGTCAGCTAAATAAACGTTTTAACATCTTCTAAAGACAATTCCCTACCTAAATGCAAAGTCTGAGAGACGTGGTTCACTTCCTTTAGCTAGTCAGTCGGCAATTCTGCAACAGTGGCTCTAACTGACGCAGCAGTTGACAGACAGCATTACAGCGTGAAATCCAGCTGGTGACCCGGTTCTGTGAGGAATTCTGTTCAGGAGGTCGCATTTCAGGCTCTCCGCATCATGTGTGACTGACTTTTACGTTATAACAACGATCACACACTAGGAATGTTATAAAGCGCCTATATAGGAGATTCTTTTGTATGTTATCTGACTTTATAAACTCCCAACAACAATGTGCTTCTTTTTTTTTTTTCAGGCTAAATCTACCCAAGACACTGGCTGTCAGACTGATTTAGCTGCAAGAATGCACTTGTCCAGGCTGATGTGAAGCCTTCCCTGTAGCAAAGGTGAATTATTTTTAATAATCTTCTATGTAAACATTTTATTATCACCTTCTAGTTTTAATTTGTTTTACAGATTATTGTTACACGTGATTTTATGCTCTTTTAAACATTTATAAATGTGCTGCTTCTTTGTTTTTACATAGCCAGCCAGAATGGAGTTCACAGCCGCAGTGTGTCTGGTGACCCACAGGGACCATGATGAAAATTCATCTTCCAGAAAGTCCCAGAGCGTCCAGACCCCCTGAAAAGACCAAGATGTAAGGTGTCTGCTGTTGATTCCAGCTTCCACCTCAGTGACAGTGCAAGCTCAGTGAACTGTTCAAGGTAAAAAAAAATTAAAACATTTCAGAATTTTTAAGATATTAACAATTAAATAAGTATGTGATTACATCATGACGGAGGCTACTGATTCTGGCCCTGTGATACTTGGTGGTGACGTGTGAGCTGATTCACCTGGAAAATAACTTTTACATTAAATATTTTGTTTTTGTTATCAAAAGTAAATTAACTAATAACCTGCATTATTGCAGGACACTCAGCAAAATATGGACTCTACACCATGAGGCATGCACACATTAATACTCTATAAGAGCACATAAGGTGAGCAACACCACATATTGTACACTGTCCTGAATTTGTTTTCTTTCTGCATCTCATTAGCCTGGCTGATCACCTGATAACTCCTGTCATCTGGTTATGACAGCATGAGGATGTCCTCACACACCTGTAACCTATCAGCTCATCTGGCAGAATAGAGAGAGAAGAGACAACACCACATCTCCTGTTCCTGGAAAGCCTTCAGCCATCCTTCGATGACTGAGAACCTCCATCAGCTCTGTCTCCTGTCTGCCTACAATTATTATAATAAATATTGTGTTTGACAAGTTTTTTGTGCTGCCAAATATCTCATTTAGATTCCAGTTTTGATATTTTAATGGATATTTATAAATTACATTGATTATCACATTTTTGTTGCATGTTTAACTAGCTATTGTGATTAATTAAACTAGCACCTCACTGTTAAAAGCTCGTTTTAATTTCAAGCATGTTTAAGTATTTATGGACATGAACAAAAACAGGAAATATATAAATTGACATTTATTTAATTAATATAACAAATAAGGGGGAAAGAGTCATTGAAAGGCACATTCTTCTGGAAGCTCCTGATCCTGAAGACACCAGCAGAGACCAGCTGCAGACACCAGAGACCACCTGCAGACACCAGAGGACCTAGAACCGAGAGAGCAGCTGTTATTAGTAAATAAATAAAGAAATCAGGGCAGTTTTAGTGGGCTGAACACATTACAGAATAATTTTCTCATGGGGTATTTTCATAACTTTATGCAGCAGACTGTAACTTGAGCCCAGAGCTACCGGAGAGCTGCTATCCAGCATGTTTCAGTGGATTTTCCTGCTTTAACAGGTTAGATTAGCTGTTAAGCAGCTCAGCTATTTGTTGCTGATTAAAACCAGGTGTGCTGAAGCAGATAAACCTCTAAAACATGCTGAATACTAGCTTTTTAGGGCCGTGGATACAAACCCTGCAGCTAATCCAATGCTATGGCTAACGGCTACTTACCTTTCAGAGGTGATTCTGTTGGGTCGGTTCTGGGAGTTTCAGGCAACTCACAAGCTCAAAACAATAAGACTCAGGTCCGCTTGTCTCCTCCAAATAGACTTGGTCCCTTTCTTCTCGAGTGTCTGTGTAAGGAGGGGGGAGAAACGTCCTCCACTTCTAATAACTGCTCAAGAGTGAAGGGAGCTAGCTTCGTCTAGTTAGCCATCGTCTTCGTCACTGCCGCGGCTCCGCCCTCTCGGTCCTCCAGGCAACGCCTACTAATGTTGCATTTTTTTAAAATTGATACGTGGGTGGAGAAGGACTCCGAGGCTCAATTGACCCGCTCTTTAAATCCATGACTAATAGGAAAGCTCCAGGTCCAGACTGGTTTCCAGCAGAGTTCTACAAAGAATTCTGGATCATTCTGTCATGGTTGGAGGTGAGTGAAAATACCTGACTCTCATTCTGTTTGAGTGCAAATGGGCGGAACCGGAGAGCACCGAGCCATCTGCCACTCATCAGTAGGCTTCTTAAGGAGCAGGGAGACGCACCTCAGCGCTGGATGATTACTCAATCTTGGTAGAGCTACCTGAGTGTCACAAGCCTTTTATCTTTGGACTATTGTCTTCCGAGCTTCGTTCCGAGTAACCTCACCCTGCTTCTCCCTCTCCTTCAGGTCGATCCTCCACTTGCAGAACCTGCCATAAATCACGGATCCACGCCTGTCTCCCGCTCCAGCCTCTTCTGACCAGCCAGCTCTATGCCGCCTCCGCACCCTCCCCCCTCTCAGGACTCCGAGGATTCACCCTGTCTCGCGCTCCTCCTGCCACTCATCTGCCAACCGGACCCTCCTCTCTCCTCTCCTCCCTACCCCGAACTCTGAGCCCCAGGATTTTGGACTAAAAAGAACTGAGCTAAGCTCCTAATCATCACCTGCCTTTAACTGTGCTCCTGTAGTTGAGATGAATTAATTATCTGCTTTTTCTCACCCATCCTCCTGACTCTGAAGTTGAGTCTGTATGTCTTGGGTCAGACGGTTAACCCCAAACATGACACAATCTGGCTCCAATATTTTTCAGAATGGTGAGGGAAATCGAAGAGAGCGGCAGATAACAGCCAAACATGAATTCAGCCAATATTAGTCTCTTGTTAAAACCAGGCAAAGACCCAGCATTTCCAACCAGCTATCGCCCAGTTTCTCTTATTAATGTTGATCTCAAAATAATTTGTAAAGCCCTGGCAAAAAGATTAGAGGAGGTAACCCCCTTCATAATACACCCTGACAAAACTGGTTTCATCAAGGGTAGACAGTCATCCACAAACTCACGTAGATTACTTAATTTGATAGATTTCTCTTACAGTAGAAACATAGAAACTAGTATATTATCTCTAGATGCAGAAAAAGGCTTTTGATAGAGTTAATTGGAAGTTCTTATTTGCAACTTTACATAAATTTGGTTTTGGGAACTTCTTCATAAACTGGCTACAAACATCTTACAGTTCGCCAACAGCACGTGTCAGGACGAACAACCAAATATCAGCTAGCTTCTGTCTTCAGAGGGGGACTAGGCAGGGGCGTCCACTCTCCCCCTCACTGTTTGCTATCTTTATTGAACCACTAGCAGCAGCAATTAGGCAAACAACAGGTATTAAATGGATAAAGTGTAAGAAAATAGAACATAAGATCAGTCTTTATGTAGATGATGTTTTACTCTTTCTCCAGAATTCTCAATCCTCTCTCTCCCAAGCAGGCACGTGCAGAGGGGGGGGCGGAGGGTGCTTGAGACCCTGCCCCTTTTCTCCCATGTGCCCAAAGTGCCCTTTTTGAGGTTTAATGATTTTTTTTATATATATTTATTTTTATTTTTTTTAAAGAATTTTCTGTTTGTGCCCCCTCAAGAATAACAAAAATAATCATTAATAAAATTTCTGTTTAATGTTATATAGCTGGCGTGAGTCAGACCATACGTCACGTGACCATTCCGTCTCTTCCTCACGCCAGAGCGCACAGCCGGTCACAACAAGCTGCAAGCAAGCACCCACATTTTCTTCATGGCCGAGCGAGTGGTGCAAAGCTTTTAGGACATACATATTGATTGGGAGAAACGGACTAACACCGGTAAGTAGGATGCACACTACTATACACGGTTATTAGATTATTTTGTACATTATTAAGTTGTTTTGTGGCACTAGGTGTGTGATATATTACTAGCTGGGTGTGTGTCTGTGGCTGGGTACCGATTCTGAACCTCAGTAACTTTAGGATTAACCAAAAACATTCTGTACATAAGTACTTGTACGAAAATATTTTTTCAATCTTAAGTATTGGGAATTTGCCAATAAAATGTCATTGTTGTTAACTAGGTACCGCAAAGTTGCATTCCTATCGCTGCTGCGTGTCACGTGACTAGGGTCTCACACAGCCCTGCTTCTTGTTTACAAAATCACTTCCTGGTTCGCGGACTAATAAAACTTGAACAAATTTAAAATTTAGCTACCTTTTGTGAAAGGAAATAAGAAAAATACTAAAGGTAACATCCGTCACAAGTTTTGTGTTACTAAATATTCAGTCCTTGTTTGTTAATTCTGTCCAGCGTTTTATGGAACATAGTTTTGTTTTAGATGTTAAGGTTTCTCAGCCCTTCTGGTGGGTTTTTTAGTTCACTAATACTATGCATATTCTCAAAATGTTGGAGTTTATATTTGCTCTCTTTTTGAATGCATTGTATTAAAAACATTATGTTTTAAAGATGTACATTCAAAAAAAACTGTTTTCACTGCAAAATTATTTTATCTGTACAGTTCTCTGTTTTGCACAAAGTAGATAGTAAAACTGAATGAAAGCATAAACATTGTTTTATTCTTTATTTTTATTATAATTACTAAAGCACTACGATTAAAATAGTATGGACATATTCTGGATCAGCATCATGAAGCAAATTTGTGGCCAAATTATATACAGTTAGTTTTCTGGAAAAGGAATGAAATGTCCCAGAATGTGTATGCATGAGTTTTATAAGCATGAAAAAATATTTGTAAATCAATTATGATATATCATTGTACAGACATGCTTCGTAAGGACAGGAGGAGGAAGCAGCGACAGAAAGAGCTACATGAGGCAGCTAAAGGCAGTGGGTCCCTCACCAGCTGGATAAAAAAAAAAGAGTACAGGTAAGTTGCATCACAGCAACAAGTGTAGAAACAATAATATACACAACTGCAATGTTTTGATGCCAGAAAATGTTTTTTGTTAGCTTCTTGATCATGGATTAGGTGCAAGACCTGTTAAATGTGAATAACTACATAATTCATTCATACAATAGCTAATTTTGCCTTGTTCTCAGATGGACAGCAAGTGGAGAGTGATAGATCACACGAGGAGACTGAAGACACACACAACTCTTTCTGTTTATATTTCTGTCACATTCTTATCTCTGACATAAACTCCTCTATTATCCACTAATATTTAGATTTCCATTTATTTACCACAGGTGTTGTCTCAGATATTTCTGTCTTACACTTCTAAGAGTTTTCACCAATTTTTGCCATTTTTTTATGATCTTACATAAATTTTGTAATTGACTAACATTTCTCCTCTGTTCGTTTTACTACCTACAGTCTGAGATCAACACAGCCTTGCCCTCCAGCATCATCAGCAGCAGCAAGAGGAGCGACCCTGCAACAGCTACACTGTACCCCATCATCAGGTAAAATAGGACAGCAATAGATCAGGAGGTGGAGCAGGTTGTCCAGTAATAAGAAGGTTGCAGGTTTGAGCCTGACTTCAATCAGAGATTGATGCTGTTGTGTCCTTGGGCAAGACACTTAACCTGCTTTGCCTGCTGGTGGGGGTCGGAGGGACTGGTGGCGCCTGTGCTCAGCAGCTTCACCTCTGTCACTGCGCTCCAGAGCAGCTATGGCTACATCATAGCTCATCACCATCAGTGTGTTAATGTGTGTGTGTGAATGACTGATTGTGTTGTAATGTGCCTTGGGGGGCTGTAGAACCCTAAGAAGGCATTATACAAATACAGACCATTTACCTAAACAAGTTACTTTTGCTTTACATTCTCCTTATGGTGTATATAATGATTCGCTTCCATTTTGAATTTCTAATAAATATGATTTGTTATTCAGCTGAGTATACTGTGGTTATGTCATGGTGTTTGAAAATATTATTCTGTGTGCCCCTTTTTAAATTTGAGCACCCGCCCCTTCAAAGGTCTCTGCACAGCCCTGCTCCCAAGCAATAGAACTGATAAACTCTTTTTCAAAAGTTTCAGATTACTCTATAAACTGGTTAAAATCCACAGTTCTACCAATTAATTTATTTTTGTCAATTTACTTAATACACAATTGGAGTCAGGGAATACCAAATACCTGGGAATTAATGTTTCTCCCAAGTTAGCAGATCAACCAAACTGAACTACATCCCACTTTTAAAGAAAGTGAAAGATGACCTTGCAAGATGGAAATCCTTACCGATATTACTCACGGGGAGAGTTGCTACAATTAAAATGATGGTCTTACCCAGAATAAATTACTTATTTTCAATGATCCCAAACAAGCCACCAGCTGACTGGTTTAGATGTCTGGACTCCTCAATTACCAAATTCCTTTGGCAGGATAAACCTCCACGAATTAGCTTAAAAACGCTTCAGAAGACCAAAGACAAAGGAGGACTGGATCTACCCAACTTTTATTATTGTTTCTTAGCTAACAGGCTGCACTACAGGTGCTGGCCAGTAAATTAGAATATCATCAAAAGGTTGAAAATATTTCAGTAATTCCATTCAAAACGTGAAACTTGTACATTATATTCATGCAATGCACACAGACCAATGTATTTCCAATGTTCATTACATTTAAATTTGATATTCATAAGTGACAACTAATGAAAACTCCAAATTTGGTATCTCAAAAAATTAGAATATTCTGAAAAGGCTGAATATAGAAGACACCTGCTGCCACTCTAATCAGCTGATTTACTCAAAACACCTGCAAAGGCCTTTAAAAGGTCCCTCAGTCTTGTTTTGAAGGCACCGCAATCATGGGGAAGACTTCTGACTTAACAGCTGTCCAAAAGACAATCATTGACACCTTGCACAAGGAGGGCAAGACACAAAAGGTGATTGCTAAAGAAGCTGGCTGTTCGCAGAGCTCTGTGTCCAAGCACATTAACAGACAGGCGAAGGGACGGAAAAAATGTGGTAGAAAAAAGTGTACAAGCTCTAGGGATAACCGCACCCTGCAGAGAATTGTGACGACAAACCCATTCAAAAATGTGGGGGAGATCCACAAAGAGTGGACTGCAGCTGGAGTCAGCGCTTCAAGAACCACCACGAGGAGACTCATGAAAGACATGGGATTCAGGTGTCGCATTCCGTGTGTCAAGCCACTCTTGAACATGAAACAGCGCAAGAAGCGTCTCGCCTGGGCCAAGGACAAAAAGGACTGGACTGATGCTGAGTGGTCCAAAGTTATGTTTTCTGATGAAAGCAAGTTCTGCATTTCCTTTGGAAATCAAGGACCCAGAGTCTGGAGGAAGAGCGGAGAAGCACAGAATCCACGTTGCATGAGGTCCAGTGTAAAGTTTCCACCGTCAGTGATGGTGTGGGGTGCCATGTCATCTGCCGGTGTTGGCCCACTCTGTTTCCTGAGGTCCAGGGTCAATGCAGCCGTCTACCAGGAAGTTTTGGAGCACTTCATGCTTCCTGCTGCTGACCAACTTTATGGGGATGCAGACTTCACCTTTCAACAGGACTTGGCACCTGCACACAGTGCCAAAACCACCAGCACCTGGTTCAAGGACCATGGTATCCCTGTCCTTGATTGGCCAGCAAACTTGCCTGACCTTAACCCCATAGAAAATCTATGGGGTATTGTGAAGCGGAGGATGCAATACGCTAGACCCAACAATGCAGAGGAGCTGAAGACGACTATCAGAGCAACCTGGGCTCTCATAACACCTGAGCAGTGCCACAGACTGATCGAGTCCATGCCACGCCGCATTACTGCAGTTATTGAGGCAAAAGGAGCCCCGACTAAGTATTGAGTGCTATACATGCACATTCTTTTCATGTTCATTCTTTTCAGTTGGCCAACATTAGAGAAACAAACATTTTTTCATTGGCCTTTAGAATATTCTAATTTTCTGAGATACCAGATTTGATGTTTTCATTGGTTGTCACCTATAAATATCAAAATTAAACGTAATAAACATCGGAAATACATTGGTCTGTGTGCATTGCATGAATATAATGTACAAGTTTCACGTTTTGAATGGAATTACTGAAATATTTTCAACCTTTTGATGATATTCTAATTTACTGGCCAGCACCTGTATATACGAAGATGGTTGCAAGATAACCCTCTAGATGAGTCCTGGTTAGATATAGAACAGACACTTTGCAATACGATAGAGCTTTCAGACTTACCATTTATTAGCTCAAGCATAAGAAAACATGAAGGCTTCAAAAGTATTAGTATCAGCACCTCTCTGACAGCATGGTGGGAGTATCTTAAAATGACAGAGTCTTCACTAGTACCATGCAGACGCACACCTATCTGGAATAATCCTGATATTTTGCTAAACAACAAAATGATGAATCTTCCGGACTGGAAAAATAAAGGAATCCTATACCTGGAACACATATATGAAGGATTGGACTTCATCCCATTTAATAGAATAGTCTCCCAATTTGGAATAGATAAGAATAGCTTTTTAGAATACCACCAAATTAAATCTGTAGTCAAACAAAAATTTTAACTCATTGAAATAGAATTACAAACACCACCAAGGGTATTAGACTTCTATAATCTCAACCCCCCCCCCCCCCCCCCCCCCCCCAAACTACTGTCTAAAGTATATAAGACACTGTCCAAAATAGACGATAGAATAGCAATCCCTATTGAAAAATGGAAGGTGGATCTTTCAGTCAGCTTTGACCAGAACTTCTGGTCCCAAACTTGTTTAAAAACTTTTAAAATGATCAGACACTCCAATTTATAAGTAATTCAGTACAGAATTCTACACAGAGTACACTATACAGGTCATCAGATGTTCAAGATGGGGTTTGTGTCGTCTGCCACCTGTACACACTGCACAAACAACATTCCCGACAATTACATCCAAGCATTGTGGTCCTGTCCACCTGTCCAGGAATTTTAGGGTAGAGTATGTGAAGACCTGTCAAAGTCTCTGAAATCATCCCAACCACCCCCTCTCTTTGTTTCCTGGGAAACCTGGACGATGTACTGATTGAAACCTCTTTGCTCCCTCCGTCTCCTACACATCTTTAGGGGGCAGATCTGTGGTCCCTCACACTCTCTATTGGACGCTCCTATAGAGAAACCTTACATAAACAAGAGCGTGTACACACACAGGTGCTCATACAGGCTCAGTAAAGAACAGCCTCTCATTTCTCAGTATAACACTAACTAATCCATTAATTTCAACAAAGTAACTGTATTCTAAAATTCATGTAATTAAACAGTACATGTAACAGAATACAAATACTTGTAATTTGTATTCTAAACTCACAACTGTGGTACTTGTAATCCTGTACTCCCAACACTGGATAAGTACTGTTTTAGTATGATTGATACACTTTTTACACTTTGATGACATTTTTACAGGAAAGGAAATATGTTGCTGCAGCCCTACGGGTGCTTTCTGCACATTTTAGATCTAAAGACCTGTTATGGTTTAACTTTCTGAACTTTAAACTTTGCATAACTTGTTTACTTGAGAAACATCACTGAATGGTTGACTTAACAAGAAGATGTCGACACAAGCCTTTTCGTGTTTGAGGCAGAACCGCTAGAATTAGGACATGTTCTTACTCTACATTACAACTCTTTATCTTTTACTGTCGTTGTGACTCGTTTAATTGTATTGATGTAGAAAAATCTCACTTTCCCAGCACATATGCATGGCGAACCTCTTCCTCTGTGCGTTTGTATTCTCGGATCCCTCTTATGTTCAGGGCAGCTGCTTTCCATTACTTTGCATGTGCTCCTTAAAAAAAGCGTGGTCGTTTCTCAGGCAAATGCAGTCAAATACCCACAATGTGACTGCTCAAACACAATTATTCAGAGGAAGGTGTACACTACTGGATACAGCCTGTCACTGGGAAACACAAACATAAATACATACAATTAGCTTTCTAAATATGATTTTACAAATGCATTTAATCTAACTGATAACAACTCAAAGAAGCTCATTTCCAGAGTCATTTTGTTTTATGTGACAGACACAATGGGAACAGAGGTTGTGATGATTTTTGTTTCAAATAAACCTTTAGATTTACTTTGTGTTTGTGGTATTTTGTTTATACACAAACTAAATATTGGTATGTATGTCTTAGACGTTGTCATGGACACAGCCAACACACTCACCATACAATGGCTTGGTCGATGGGTAACACAGCCACTAGAGGGTTAGGGTTCAGACAGAGTCATCAGGTCCAGCACAGACCCTCACAACTCAGGCTGAGGTTTCTGTTCCATCTCCTCTGCCCAGGTGAGGTAACATCATAGATGCATTTATAAATCGGCACACCCTTAAGAGGTGAGTTCACCACCAATCCGCTGAGGCAACCATTTAACTGACCAGGGGCCTCATTTGGAAACTTGCTTGGGATCCTTACTAAAACTCTACTTACAAGTTGTCAGGCTTATAAAAGACTGTGTACACCTAGCTTACGTTTATGTTTCTTTATTTGGCAGACGCTTTTATCCAAAGCGACGTACAATTTTTAACTTGTAGTGCATGCTATGATCTATGGGGGAAACCAGAGTACCCGGAGGATACCCACGCATGCATGAGGAGAACATGCAACTCCACGCAGAAAGGCCACAGCCCAGTTTCGAACCTGCAACCTTCTTGCTGCGAGGCAACAGTGCTAACAACTGCGCCATCATGCAGCCCATGGTAATTCCTGCATGTAATTTATGCTTTGTAAAACACACCTGTTCCAGAAATGTGCACAAATGTTTCTGGATCACATCTTGCCTCTTACACAGCCACTTTTGCATATCCCAGGGTCATGGTCACATTCTGGCTCAGTTTTTGCTCCTGAAGATAAACTCCAACTATTTCTGCCAATTCTTCAGGAAGATCAGGCAGGGATAAGTATATTTAGGCAATATTTAAAGTGCAGACTAAATAAGAAATAAACCACTTATTCACATCTGTGGAGATTAACCTTCCTGCTAGCTACACAGAGAGATT